ACCGCTCTTTGTGTTCCTGTTACTGCCCTAAAGCTATTACTGCAATTGTTTATTTGTCCAAATTCTACCCCGGTAGCTCCAAGAAAATAGGAGCTGTGTTTCTAACTTGCTATCCATTGTGTTTCTATGGCCCTGAGAATATTTCTGGCTCGCTAAATGCCTGTCAAATTTAGATAAAGAAATAAAGAAAGAAAATAGCAAAGGATATAAATTATTCAAGTGTTAAATGACTTCAGTAGAGATCAATACTTTCAATACCAAAGCAGGGAGAAGAGATATTTTAATGACTTTTTATTTCCAAAATAAGATTCCTTTGGTAGGACATACTTATGATGATTATGAAATACCAAAAGTTTTACCCAGTTTTCTTCCTGTGCATTTGTTCCTACCAGTCACTAGAAGCTCAGAGATTACAGGGCTTTTATTGAAGGGTTCTTTCTCTGTCTTTGGGAACTAGCTGTACTCCCAAAACTGTCTCCTGCTCAAACCACGAGTGTGGCTAACTCAGCCACAATAGTCTCCTCTCTGTCCTCTCTTTAAGAGTGTGTGTGTGTGTGTCTCATTTGAGGATAAGACTGTGCCTTATCCCCCTCTCATTGCCCACAGCACATGACAGTTACTTTAAAACATAACTTGCTGGATAAGATCTCATTGGAGCAAACACTTCTGCATGCACAGCAACATGGGTAAAATACTCTTGCTCTGGACCAGCTTCATACCCTGGACCACTCAGCCCAGTACCCTTGTTAACCCCCTTACTTTCCAGGGTTTACTCCAAGGGAAAGCTTATTGATTTCTAGCTTCACCCACCAACCTCACTGTGTCCCCAGGTGGGGGGAAAGCTAGGGCCCCATGGACACATTATAGCTCCTTCTCCCTCACTGAGAACTAAGTCTGTGCCCTGCATCCTTTAGGTTTACATAAGGGGTATGATTTTTGTCCTCCTTCCCATAATGTGCCTTTTATCAATAATCATTATCTTACACGGGTTGTACTGCCAGCCGTCCTCAGGCACAGGGCTGAGGTGTGAGGCATTGTTTATCCTGCTGCTTAGCTGCACCTTTTGTATACAGAATGCGAAATTCTCAAGGAATGAATAACCTTCATGTACTAAGACTGTCCTTAGTATTTCCTATTTCACTCCTGGAGTAGCTGTCTTAAGGGGACAGATGAGAGAAGCCTGCCATCATGCTAGGCTGACATATCGTGTGCGAAGACATATGGGAACCACATTTTCTCATATTCCTTCTTCAAAAATGAATTAAATTGGTCTATAAAACATACATCTTTGTGACAACAAAACTGACATATGAACAGAGATTCTTGTAAGGAATGACTTCGGAAGAACCAGCCGTGTTGAAGGATGTGTGTAAATGGAATTCACAGTCAAAAAAGCTCACAGAGAGGGCCCAGCACCTCTCCTGGCGTTTACACTCACTGAAAGCGAGAATGTTTTGGATTCATTTCAAAGACTGAAGTGTTTACCAGCATAAACATTGTAAGACATGTGATGTAGAATTGGGAGGTATGTGCCTTCTAAATATCTTCTCTGATAATCTATTGCCAATTTTTGTTTAATCTAATATTGAAAAGCTTCACTAGCTTGGGGTCTTTTGCACTCTGGAAGTTTGAATCTCAAAGAAATATATTTTCATCAAATAATGGCATAGCTCCTCCAGCTCTAAACAACCCACACTACTGTCTACTGAGTGTCTCTTGACTTGGACGTTGTACCAGAGACGAGGCTGAAAAACCAAGTATGGCCTCTGTCCTTATAAAGCTCACAATTGTGTTGGGGTGAGAAGGTCACAAGTGAATCAGAGACCAGCAGTTAGAGATAAAAATAAAAGATTCACCTTACTGCAAGGTGGTATATAATTAATTGAGTAATTTAAGGGATGGAAGAATAGATGTAGGAGTTCAAGAAAGAGGGAGTTTGTTTCACTTGGGGTGTTCAGAAGAGCCCCGACAAGCAGGTGTAATGTGAGCCAGGCCTGGTGAAAGGAGAGGCTCAGGGAAGGTGGAAAGGGAGTAAAACATTCCAGCTGGAGGTTGATGGTGAGACCAAAATCTCAGAGAGTTAAGCCAGTCAAACGGCACAGGATGAGAGTCTGTGTGTAAGGGCAGAAAGAGATGAGAAAGATATTAACACCCTTTTCTTCAACTCCCTCTTCAAGTAGTACTTGTAACAATGTCAATTTCCCACCTCAATTTAATTAAATTCTGGAGAAGTTTTTTTTTTTTTTCCCCCTATTACAAAGTACAAAGACAATGCATAAGAATTTTCACGGAGATTTCTGAAAATCTGATTTTTGAAATCTGTACCAAATACACAGTGCTAGTTATGGTCGATCAACTACAAATAATTTATTTTTATTTTTTGATACAAATGTTTATTTTGAAACCAGAAGGAGAGTTGCATATCCTTACAAGTCCACATACCACATACAGCATTCACATTAAAATAAGTTTTCCTAAGATATTTGTAGCCAGAAACAGTAATTCACTGTTACCTCTCTTGTCCTGCTGTGTCCCAAAGCTGAAGATGCACCTTAACTGCTTTCCCCGTTGAGGCATTTGGTCCCTGTGTGTTATAAACCTGAAAAATACAAATGTCATCGCTTGATACTGCTTTGGATTTTGTCAGCATTCAAATTCTCTGGGTTCACTCAGCATATTTTTTTCTTCATTACTATAATCAAAGTTCATAGTGCAAAATAAATATTTGCTCTGTTTTGTTTCCCCAGAAGTATCACATATACTCTCACTTTTAAATGTCAAGTATAAGTATGGTTTTCAAAACAATTTAGGCATCCTGCAAACTTAAATTAGACACCTTCTGTCATTTCCTCATGGAGGAAGCAAACATTAGATTTAGGACCCAAGTTCTAGGTTCAAATATAGACGCTTCATTTAACTTCATAGAATCTTATTTTCCTTTAGCAAATTGAGACCCATCATTTCCTCCTACTTTACAGAGTTACTGCAAACTTAAATGAAATAGCAGATGTGAAGGCATTTTTAAAACAGTAAAATGCTTTACAAATACCTGAATATCCTCTACTGTGAACTGGACTTTCAAAATGAAAAACACATGGAATTTCTCAATAAGTTTACACAGGATATTTCAAGTCTTTCCTTACTAGTCGTTCCTTCAAAGGCTCTTTTTAGAAAAGTTTAAATTTTTTAAATGATGGCCTTTTGACTTCTTATTTAAACAAAGCATAGAAATTTTAATATTTATCCAGTTCTTTTACTTATGGCTTAGTGAAGATGTTTTAAAGGAAAAACTTTGCAAAGATTTATACCTAGATTGGGGTTGGGGGTGGGGAATTGGGAGGGGAGAAGGCACAGAAAAACCCTGGAAGGGTTGGGAGCAAGTTTGCTAAGACTACAGTACTGGACTTTCAGATAAGGTACAGGACATTACAAGGAACCATGATTTAACTTCTCAACATCATTTTCTTTGTTTGTTTTTTTTGGATTTGTGATATCAACTGGAAGCCGCCGCCATCTTGGCAATCAAGAATACCTTGGGTGGCAGTAAATCTGGCTAAGCTTCTGTGCCTATGTTACACGTCTCACATGTCACAATATCCTTATTCCTGTCATTAGCGTCTAGCATAGGAGAAGGAAGTGGTTGTGATTCTCACTTAAAATCCCTTATTTTGAAAAATAGCATGGATTGGTCTCACATTCTGTTCATAAGAAGCTAGTGATTGATGGCTGAGTCTACACATAAATAAAAATGCAGCAAGAACTCACAAAGCTCGTGTTCCAGCTATTTGCCAATCATTCTTTTAACTTTTTTTGTAAGCATAGGGAAATGAACACTTGTTTTTATTGAGGAACTCAGATCAAGAGTTAATGATTTTAGATACTAATTCATGTTTTGAAAGTTGCCTTAAGAATTCATAGAAAACACACTATACAAACCCATTAATGATTTTAGTTGCCCTGTGTACTTCTGGAGACCAGTGATAGTGCCACTCAATTTTTTCTAAGCAAAATGTTATTTATAATTGAGACAGTAAAAAATAATATTTAAATTGGATTAAAGTGACAGGTTATGAATTTCATGTGATAAAAGACAGTCACCTTGCAATGCAATAAACATAGCTTCTTAATCCTTATCTTTTTTTTTTTTTTTAACATCTTTATTGGGGTATAATTGCTTTACAATGGTGTGTCAGTTTCTGCTTTATAACAGAGTGAATC